TCAAATTCAAAATGGGAATTGACACAGTTACTTTTTGCTGATGATACTGTGCTTATGGAATTCAAAGAAAAGATTGCAAAGGTAATTGGATGATTTTGGGAATGTGTGAAAAGGTAGAAAGTTGAAAGGAAAAACCATAGAAAAAGAGAAAGGTGATGAGGGTGTCAAATGATTTAGATAAATAAAAAAATGGATATCAAATTGGTGGAGGGAGGAGTATGGTGAAAGAAGTGAAATGTTTTCAGAAATTGGGAGTTGACGGTGTCGGCGATGGTTTAATGAAGTCTGAGGTTAATCATAGAATTGATGAGGGAAAAAAGGTGAGTGGTGCGTTGAGTATATGTGAGTCAAAAAAACGGTAATCTATGGAGGCAAAGAAGGGAAATGATGAAAGAAAGTAGTACCAACACTCTTATAAGGGTGTGAAGCTTGGGTGTAAATCAGCAGCGTAGGAGACGTTGGAGGCAGCGGAGATGTCCTGTTTAAAGGGCGAATGTGTGGTGTAAAATATTATGCAGAAAATTCGGAGTGTGGTAAAATTTAGGAGAAAGGTGATCTGTTAGTTAATAAAAGTATTAGTCAGAGGGCAGAAAGGGTTGTTGATGTGGTTTGGTCATTTAGAGAGAATGGATCACATTGAGAATGACATGGAAAGCATATAAATCTATAGGGGAAGAAGGCGGGTAGGGGTTCGTCCTGAAAGTTTGAAGAAGAGTGGGTCTAAAGAGGAGGTTTTGTGGGTAAGGGCTTGGACTTCCCAGCAAGCGTTCGTGAGCGTAGGTTAGATATGGCGTGAATGGAGACAGATGTACTTGGACCTGAACGATCTTTGGAGTGTGAGTCAGTGTGTAATATTTAGTGAAGGGATGTTCAGGGAAATCGTTATTTTCATATAGTCTCGGACTTGAGTCCTGGGAAATGGGAAGTACAATGCCTGCACTTTAAAGGGGGGTTTGGGATATTGCAGTTTGGAGGATATGATTCGTGGTATCTTTATATGTTATGCTTCTAGACTGTATGTAATTCGAGGCACCTCTGCAAAAACAGTGATAATGTGCGAGAGTGGTGAAAGTGTTGATGAGATGATAGTATTTTCTTTTTGGGGATTTTCCTCCTTTTTTGGGTCACTCCTGCCTCGGTGGGAGACGTCCGGTTTTTTGTGGCGAGGGACTTGACTTCCAGCAAGCGAGCACCGAGCGTGTTGGATAAGGAGTGAATGATACGAATGATACTTGGGACCTGAATGATCGTGTTGGAGTGTGAGCAAGTAATATTTAGTGAGAAGGGATACAGGGAAAACCGGGTTATTTATCTTATAGTCGGACAATGAGCCTGGACATGGGAAGACAATGCCTGCACTTTAAAGGAGGGGTTTGGATATTGGGCAGTTTGGAGGGATATGTATGTGTAATCTTTAATACTTAATATGTGGCCATTCTAAACTTAGTATCCTGAGCAAACCCACTTCAAAAGCAATGATAATGTATGAGGTGGTGGTGTGAAAAGTGTTATGAATGATGATGAAAGTATTTTTCTTTTGTGATTTTCTTTCTTTTTTGGTCACCCTGCCTCGATGGAGACGACCAACTTGTTGAAAAAAAAAAAAAATAATAATGTAGTAAGTATGTTGATAAGACATAAGCAACCACGTTAGATGTACTAAGCGTTCTGGCCAAGCGATGTAAAAGGGATGCCTATAAATTGTTTTTACATAAAGGTTAGGATTGCTGGTGTCTTTTTATTCTGTCACGTACCCATGCAAGATTCCTGGTACGTCTTGCTAGCTTCACTTACACTGAAGTCACACTACACATACATGTACAAGCATATATACACCACCCCTCTGGGTTTTCTTCTATTTTCTTCTAGTTTCCTTGTTTATTTCTATACCTCCATTGGAAGTGGAACAGAATTCTTCCTCCGTAAGCCATGCATGTTTTGTAAGAGGAGACTAAAATGCCGGGGGCAAGGAGATAGTAACCCCTTCCTCTCCCGTATAAAGTACTAAATTTAAAAATAGAAACTTTCATTTTTCTTTTGGGCCACCCTGCCTTGTCGATATGTAATATAGTATAAATATAGTATATAGTAGGGTTGGTAGACAGCAACCACCCAGGTAGGGTACTACCGTCCTGCCGAATTCAGTGTAAAACGAAGCCTGTGGATTGTTTTTACATGATGGTAGATTGCTGATGTCTATTGTCTGTCCTCCATAAATATGCAAGATTACAGGCATGTCTTGCTACTTCTACTTAGGTCACACATACACATACATGGTACACATTTTACTTATAACACACTCATCTTGAGTTTTCTTTGATTTTTATCTTAATAGTTTCTTGGACTTATTATTTTCCTTTTATATCATGGGGAATTGGAATAAGAATTCTTTCCCCTCCCGTAAAGCATGCGTGTTGTAAAAAGTCCAACTAAAATGCCGGGAACAATGGGCTAGTAACCCCTTTTCCTGTAAAGATTACTAAAAAGAATAATAATAAGAAAATTTGTCAAATTGGGAAGTCTGAATTGTGCTGGATGTTGTGCAGATGAATTAGAAAGAGGATGATTGTGGATGTTATGAATGAGAAGAAGCTGGATTCCTGCTTTAAGTGAAACAAAGCTGAAGGTGTGGGAGAGTTTTCAGTGGAGAGAATAAATGGGATTGAGGTCAGGGTTTCTAACATAGAGTTAGAGCAAAGAAGGAGTAGCAATAATGTTGAAGGATAAGCTATGGCAGGTAAGAAGAGGGACTATAAATGATGTATTAATTCAAGATTCGAGGTGGAGTAAAATAAAGATTTGGATAGTGAAAAGTGGGTTATAATAAGCGTGAATGCACTGGAGAAGAGAGAATGTAGAAGAGAGAGGACATAACTTGGGAAATGTTGAGTGAATGGCGTGGGGAGATTTTGAAGCAAGTGAGAAGAGTAAATGGTGGACGAGTTTGGGAGTGTCAAGGTAGAAAGTTGAAAGTGAACATAAAAAGAGAGTAAGGTGATGAGGGTATCAAATGATTTAGATAAAGAAAAATTGGATATCAAATTAGAGAGGAGGGGTATGGAAGAAGTGAATGTTTCAGATGTTCGGGAGTGGACGTGTCAGAGGATAGATTTATGAAGGATGAGGTTAACCATAGAATTGATGAAGGAAAAAAGGTGAGTGGTGCATTGAAGTATATGTGGAGACAAAAAACTATCTATGGAGACAAAGAAGGGAATGCATGAAAGTATAGTGGTACCAACACTCTTACAGGGGTGTGAAGCTTAGGTTGTAAATACTGCAGCGAGGAGGCAGTGGAGATGTCCTGTCTAAGGGCAATGTGTGGTGTAAATATTATGCAGAGAATTTGGAGTGTGGAAATTAGAAGGTATGGAGTTAATAAAAGTATTAAAGTATTAGTCAGAGGGCTGAAGAGGGGTTGTGAGGTGGTTTGGTCATTAAGAGAGAATGGATCAAAGTAGAATGACATAGAGAGCGTATAAATCCGTAGGGGAAGGAAGGCGGGGTAGGGGTCATCCTCGAAAAGGTTGGAGGGAGGGGGTAAATGAGGTTTTGTGAGCGAGGGGCCTGGACTTCCAATAAGTATGCGTGAGCATGTTAGATAGGAATGAATGGAGATGAATGGTATTTGGGACCTGACGAGCTATTGGAGTGTGAAGGGATTCAGGGAAACAGCTTATTTTTATATAGCCAGACTCGAGTACTGGAAATGGGAAGTACAATGCCTGCACTTTAACCCTTCGAGGATTGAGAGGCCCTCTTCCAAACTATCTCAGGGTCAAAAAAATTATCAAGAAAAAAAAAAAATTATTTTTTTCTTACGGAATGACAGAGAATCTTTTTCCAATCATAATGACACCAAAAATATGAAATTTGATGAAAAACTTACGTAATTATGCTCTTGCGAAGTTAGCGGTCTCAAAGTTGACGATTTCACCCACTTTGGGCCCTATTTTCAGCCAATTCCAATGTTGCAGTTGACTAAAATCATAGCTTTTTCCCTAGAACTCCATTCGTTCTATCAATCAAGTACAAGAATCTGCCCATTTACCGATTTCAACTACCCAATAAAGTGATCAGAATTTGGCAATTTGGGCAATTTCACACAAATTTCAAAAGATGCCAATTTCAAAAAAGGGTTCAGAATAAACAAGACAGACATTCATGGCACTACAATAACATTTTATCTCTTCATTAGTCACGTCTCTAGGGCCCTCTTACATTACTTTTGCTTTCTGTTTTGAACTTTTATTCTCATAGAAAAATAGAAAGTTTTCTGTTATGTATACTACTGCATCATAGTAAAGCAGTATAAATGATATCAGCTCACTTATAAAAGAATATTAGACTCACCAGTTGATGTGTATTGGATGCATGGCTTTATTTGTTTGCTCTTCAATATCGGCAAAAATCAATCATTTTCGCTACTTTGAGCTTAATTTCAAGGTACTTGTCAGCGTGAAACCAATCAAAATCATCTCTAATTCTGTAATATATCTTCCACTCTATCAATTGAGACCAAGGAAACGAGAATACAACCAAAAACTCGGTCAAAATTTTTTTCTCTCATTATGCACAGCCTGCTTCAGGATTTTTTTTATACTGCGCACACTGACCACACAGACCCATTCTTTCATATGCAGGCCTGCCAGCTTTCTTCCACCAGATTTGAAGGCGCTAGAAATTAGGCGTACAAGTACATGACCGACACTGGCTGCAATGACGTACTTGTACGTGACCGACCCTCAAAGGGTTAAAGGAAAGGTTTGGGATATTGGCAGTTTGCAGGGATATGTTGTATATCTTTTTACGTATATGCTTCTAAACTGTTGTGTTCTGGGCACCTCTGCAAAAATAGTGATTATGTGCGAGCGAGGTGAAAGTGTTGAATGATGAAAAGTATTTTCTTTTTGGGGATTTTCTTTCTCTTTGGGTCACCCTGCCTCGGTGGGAGACGGCCAACTTGTTGGGAAAAAAAATGCTTCAACAATGAATTTTACCTCATATTTCAAGGAATTTATAGTTTCCAGATGCTGAGCAATATCTGCCTTGAGTGTATCATTCTTTCCTTCTAGCTCCCATTTAGATACCTCAGCAGCCAATCTCTCTCCACGGGCAGCATCTTCCTTATTCTGGGCTTCCAGCTTTTCCTCCTCTGCAACTTTGACCCGTGTCTCTGCTTCAATGACCTAAGAATTTAACATGGTATTAATTGTGTGTAAATAGTTGCAAATGAAAATGTTACCCAGATAAGAGAAAATTTAATCCAATAATAGTTATCAGTCAGACTAAAGAATGAAAAGGAACTAAGGGATCCAATCATAGAGAACCAAGGTAAGCTCTTTTCTCTTAATATTTGGGGTGACGTTTTATCAGGTCCTGATGCCTTTGCTGTGTCAAGTACCATTAGAAGCCTTCCCACTCATGATCAGCTATTGCAATACTTTATATGCCTTTACATTTGATGGATTTCGAGAGTTTTCCTACTTGGCAACCCACCCCTGGGCAAGACTTGACTGGTGCTTGCCTAGTCAACCAGGCTGTTGCTGCTGCCAGCCCAGTGACCAATATATATAGACCACAGCTTAGTTGATCCAGCACTAGGCAGAGGTATTGTCAAGTTCTTCTCGAAGACTTCTACACTTGTCCCAAAAGTGTTTCTGGTATCTTCTGGTAAGAAGCTATAAAATCTGGGACCACAGATGTTGATGTAACATTTTCCTCTGTGCCCACAGCATCCCTACTTTTACTGGATTTTGCACTTCCTCCAGTATCTCTCACTCCAGTATGTTATGGCAGTGTGCAGATTTGGGACTAGGCCTTTATGGTGCTGACTACCGTAACACCTTTATAACCCTTTTTAAAGTTCAGACTCCCAATCTGAAACTTTTCTCACTAAAAAAAAAAAAAAATTCTTATGAAATGAAACTTTTTCCAAAGGTAGTGATGCC